CCGAAAGAACCAAGAATAAGTCTACATTGTAGATGGCCAATACGCTCACCATGCATAAAAACCAGGCTACAGTCTACATTATAGACTGGCAGTACACTCACCGAGATTAAGAACCAGACTACAGTCTACATTATAGACTGCCTGTACACTCACTCCGATAAAGAACCAGGCTACAGTCTACATTAGTGTTCTTTTAGTTTTTTTATAATTTTTTATTGATTTATTTTTAATAATAATTTTTCTATCTACGTAACTTTACCGAAAGAACCAAAGAATATATATATGGGTATATATTAAATTAAATGTCATCACCAAACTGTGAACATTTGCACCTAATTCGATTTAAATTTGTGAACAAGGCTGAAGAGCCAATGGGGCTCTGGTAGATTAAAAGTACAATACGTGCAATGTGGATTTGCAAAGCGTCTAAATGTTCCGTCATTTCAAGACGCTGTACAGAAAGATTTGAAATATTTACTTTAGAGAGAGCAGTCCGTTATAGCCAGAGGGATAAAGGGAGGCCTTGAGCCTGGACTTGTACAAGGGCAGCCCGGACATCTTTCTGACAATAAAATAACAAGATTCATAATGAACCTCACCATGTATTCAAAGACAATAGTCTTTCGTCGTATATGGAGAGGTGGACTGTTATGGTTGCAGGTCATCCTTTTTTTATACTGCACTACCATGACATTGTTGAAGATGGTTGACGTTTTACTTTTAAGTTCTTTTCATTGACGCATATCGAGTATCATGCACATTTCGATTTAAAGCTTTCGTGACTGCAGGGATTCATCTTCTTGGTTCTTTCGGTAAAGTCACGTAGAAGGGAAGTAATAAAATAATAAAAAATAAAACATAATAAAATAATTCTCACGACGTTTCGGCCACAACGCAAGCAGCCGTCCTCAGGTGGCCGAAACGTGAGAATTATTTTATTATGTTTTATTTTTTATTATTTTATTACTTCCCTTCTACGTATCATGCACATCCTCAGACAGTCAAAGTTGTATGTATAAATTGGTTTAAAGAATATATCCATGCTCCTTGCGAGCCACGTTCGGTGCAGTCTGTACATATACCGCGCCTCCGATGAGCACGGTTGGCTACGTACGGTGTGAAAGCAGTTCAACTATACGTACATACGTCAGTGAATTACCAGGCGATTATTATTGTGGAAAGAATGGCGATTGTTGCATTAAAAAAGTGTTGATGCTTGTTTCTCACTGCAGTGTTGGGGAGAACCTGGCCTATACCCTGTCTGCATTTGTGGAATTGATGGATCACAGCATTATGTCCTGGGAATCCTTCACCCAGGGACCATTTGTTAAAAAGGTAAGGTATCCTTGGTCAATATTCCGACCACTATAAATATGTTGCGGGTGTTAGAACAACACCGAGTCTATGGGGTATTTTTTTAGCAATGAGTAAATACGCCTTTTTGAGAAGGCTTTTGATTATTTTACTCAGTTGTGTTTAAAAAAAATCTATAATTATAAACATTACTCGGACACAAATACTGTGCAAATGTCAAGAGGCCCTTTAGAAATCAATTGATCCCATGTGATGAACAAGACGCATGAGCGCGTTTGATTTTTCTCCCGTTTATATTTAAATTTTGCTGTCAAGATCGCGTCATTTGCATTCAGAGCTGGCAGTGAACGGTGTCTCTTTCACCTTGCGTCTGGCAAGTACCCCAGAAGATGATGTCCGTGATGTAAAAATGTATATCCACACAAGGTTAATTAAGACCGTCTTTGTATGCTCCGCAAAAAAGTGTCGCACTGCAATCAACAGACTCCGTTTTTTAAACCTGATTTGGTTATCGAAATACTAATATACAAATATGTACGTAATGCAAAAAAACTGAACGCATTCATGCCTTTAAGGAGTTTATAGTAGTTGATCTTTTCGACCTTGGACCTTCTTCATAGCACATAAAGGAGGGCCATTGCCAAAAGAAGCAATGTTACCCAAAACATTACCTCATAATATACCTTTCCTTTTAAGGCGGTGTTATTGATGAATGCTGTTGAGTTTTTTTGTTATTAGTGCTTGTGCACTGCTGCCAAAAAAGTATCACCAAATATGTCCATATATATATAAACCAGGCTTGCGGTAGGTTGTGGATGGAATCATGTTGAAGTTCTTACCTTCTGGTGGTGCACTGTACGCTTGTGTTGATTCAGCTGTTCGAGGCGCAATGATGCGCCGTGGGGAGATTGGTTGGACGTGCGTGGCTGTGTGAAAGATCGCGGGGTGTGCTCAGCTGTCGTATAACGCCACTGTGTTTGTAGCAAAGCGCAGTAGTGGTGCTGCGTTGCTTCGTTCACAAGGAGGAAATCTGTGAGCTTTGCGAGTCTCTCGTGAGGTGTTCTAGTGTGGCTTCGAGAATGATAGACCGTTTGTTCAGCTGCAGATAGACGACGAGTTTTTGGTCCATGGGAAGCAGTGTGGAATTCTGTCTTACTATTACATTGTATAACAATAATATCCTTCGAAATGAATGCCTTAATACCTTTCATAAGTGTGCTGCTCTACGAATGTTTGAACGATTACTTTTTTAAGAAATGGAACGCCGAGAGAAACCCAACGCATAAGAGCGGGAAACACTCAAACGCTACACAAATTGAGCAGCAGTCTTAACTACTATTCTGCCTATTGCAGTCCCTCTTGTAGCCCAGAGGGTAAGGTGCATCATTCACATTATGGTACCTGCTCAATGGACAAGCCCCTATGTCACGAGCTGTGGTTTACAGGTGTAAACCACAGTGCCCAGCTGGGAACGACTTTTGAGAGGTGACGTTTCTCATTTTAACGGGTGCTCACGAAGGGGTTCACAAATACAGTTATAGCGGAGAATTAGACTTACACGACTGCCCGTGGTGTAACGGTGAGCATGCTGGTCTTAAATTCCCACCTCCATGTCTCCAGCAGTATAAACAAATTAATGCTCTGCAGTCTATCGGTAGGCCGTGTGTGGTGGGGAAAAGTGTGGGTATTCCCATCACTTCCACGATACACATCACCAGAAATTGGGATCGTAAACAATCCCAGTCCTTGAGATCTACTCAGTTTCTCTGGCCTCGGCACGCGCCAAAATGTATGCCATTCAGTTTAATTGCGCTCTCCTGCTTGCAGCACTTGTCCCTGTGGTCTATTGGGCTAAACAGATCCGTGTGTCGTTGCATGCTCTTCGTGATGCCACGCCAGGTGGTGAACTTCGCTACCCGGTCGACAGCGGACGCCACCGTGCTGCAGCGCTCGCTCGCGATCCTGGAGAGCATGATTCAGAGTGGGAACGCGCTGTCCCTGCACGTGGCCTCCGAGATCTCCATCCAGCAGCTGCAGCCACATCTCTCCGTGTGCGTACGCGCCCAAGCACGCACACACCCCCCCCACCCTCCAATCCCTTCACATCTCGTCTCCTCTACTATGTGAGGCATGGTATCAAGTAATGCATGCGGATAAGCTGGAATTTCTTTTTATGTATGACATTGGTTACTTTACAGGGAGCACAATTACATGGAGCCTAAGATTGCAGTTGCAAACGGACTGCACCAAATTGCTACTGCAACAAGAATACTGGAGTGTTTTTTTTTCCCGCACTGGCCCAATGCAAGGGGCCCCCCCTGTTTTACCTCCCAGTATCTCAGTTGAATCGCTGACGTGTGTGGGTACTCGTCGTTACTTAATTGCTCGAGAAAATCGACGTTGTTCGTGTTGAGCGTGGAGTTCGCAACCCCGCAGTGTGGAAGACGCACCGATGCAACCTTAGAGTGATTTCAAGCATCCAAGCATCAATCCTTGCCTCGAACAGGTCCAGACGAATTGCTGGACATAGCATTTCCTCCATGATGTAGTTCGATTAGCTTTTGCAGATAGAGGTAGGGTGAATTGGGTTCTCAGATACTCAAAAATACACGCGAAAAATGTTCAGGTAAACAATTATTATTAAAACATAGTCATATACTGCTTTCATATGTAGCTTAATGCACTATATTTCATCTTTATATGTTTTAGCAACAGTTTAATGGGTACAAATTATATGAGGTCAGAGGTCAGCTCAGCTCGGCGTCTCTCCAGGGACAAAAAAAATCCATTCTGTTTTGTGGAAAGTAACCGGTGGATTTCCTATGGAGAGAATGACTGACTGCCCTCCCCGTGTGCACTGTGGAATGTCGACTGCTGCCAAAAAGAGATTATCACAACACAATACTCCGTTCTCTGTACGGTAAGTCCTCGCTTTAACGCATGTTACAACGCATTTTCGCTCCAACGCTGTTCTTCTGTGGGAGATGACTTTTCGCGCAATGCGGAACGCGCGCTATTATAACGCGGTTTCTGAGCGGCCCGATCACAATATGAGGCATCTTCTTGGTTCTTTCGGTAAAGTCACGTAGAAGGGAAGTAATAAAATAATAAAAATAAAACATAATAAAATAAAATAATTATTTTATTTTATTATGTTTTATAAAATAATAAAAATAAAACATAATAAAATAAAATAATTATTTTATTTTATTATGTTTTATTTTTATTATTTTATTACTTCCTTTCTACGTGACTTTACCGAAAGAACCAAGAAGATGAATCCCTGCAGTCACGAAAGCTTTAAATCGAAAAATATGAAGCATGATAAAGTACGTGGCGGCGTACCCTCATCTCAGTTCTCTGTCTCACAATGGGATGACTGGAGGCTGATCTTAAAGTGCAAATGTGATTCAAATGATTATTTTTTTTTTTTACTTATGCACTGTAATGTATACAGTAATTCTTCGCTTAACACGCCACTTTTTAGGTAGACGTGTATTGTGTTACATGAGGAATTACTGCACTTAAATGTAAAGCTTTCATCTGTATGGGTTAACGATTTTACCCATACTAAGCAGCGAGGTGGAGAATGTGGGTAACAAAGTTTAATTGTTTAGCTGTACAGGTCAAAATACAGCTGTCAGTTAATCATCATCACAGGCCATGCTCAATTCATTGTTGATTGCAATCTCTTCTTACATGATCTATTATGCTCTAAAATAATTTTATTCATGTTATGATTAATTTATTAAATGATCAAAATACATGCATACATTTCTGTGCCTGAGAGTTTTTTGTTTTTATTAATGTAATTGGGTTGGATCAACCTTAAAGCCACCTAATTATTGTATACTCACTCCAGAATTATAATTGTGTTGCATATAATATCGACCCCGATCTTTACAATTAATGAGCACATCACATTGGGGGGTGAATATTTACAGCCAACAGTCACTCCTTCTCTGCTCTGTTCGTATGCCTTTTTACACACTCTCTCCTTTGCGCTGACCATTGCAATAACAGTTTATAAGTCTTGTTCATTGGGCATTACGTTGAGTACGTAAAGGATAACATCCAAGCAATGTTATTTACTAAACCCCCCCTGGGCTGGTATGCTGCAGTGAGTTGGGGTTATAGAGCAGCCTGTAGCAGGTTTACACCGCAGCCTGGTGACCTTATCTTATATTTATATTCTGCCTTTGTCCAATGCGCTTCGCAAGGGATATGAGAAGTACAATTAGGCTTCGCTAAAAGTGATATGGTGAATAGGGATGGGGTATGGGGAAGGAGGTTAGTGGGTACGGGAATTACGAGGGTACCTAGGGATGGAGGGACAGATGGGTCAGGGAGAAGAGGTGGGTATCTTGAGAGAGGAGCTGGAACTAGACAGGGAGGGTGCTTGCTTAATGTGGAGGGGAAGTTCGTTCCAGTACAGGGGGGGGGGGCAAGTAGGGAAACGGAGCAAAAACGGGATTGTGCACAAAGAGAGGGGGGGGGGGAACCGTTTGGAGTAGTGGGAGAGATTGAGAGTGGAACAGGCGGCAGGGGACATAATTCGAGACAAGGGAAGCGAGGTACGGTGGGGCAAGGCCATAAAGAGACCTGAGACTTGTGTTGGCTGTAGATCACTAGCAGAGAATGCCTCCCTCCTCCCAGCGCGTTGCCACCTCCCCTAAGCTGTCGCTGAGCTCTGTGATTTAATGTGAGAGGGCATAAGCAAACTATGCTGAGCTCGCATTAATTATAAGTTGCCCTGAAGCCAGCGATGGGGAGGTCCGTTATAAATTATGTACGGTAGTTATAAATTGTGCGATGAAATTCAGAAGTAATGCGTAAGAAGCTCATCAAAACGTTTAATGGTTTTGGGTTTTATTTGTGGATAATGAGTAAGTGTGATGTAGGGTGTATAATCGGAAGGGTTTTTTTTCTCAATACAGTGGTGCTGTAGTTATTAATACTATCGTTCACAACACTGCATTATGCCTGATAGGATGAATTGTCAGTATTTTTTTTATTTTTTTAGGCAGTTGTAAGCCCTTATAGTTAATGTTTGTATTTTCTTGCAATGGAGATCAGTTTATAGAATCGTGGTTGGTCAAGTCTCCATCTGTCTGGGTAATTAATTATTACGAAAAAGACATATCGATTTTCATGATGTGTGACTTTTGCAGACTATAATAAACTACAAATATCGATTTTCATGATGTGTGACTTTTGCAGACTATAAAAAGCCATTTGATTCAATGGAAACTAACCACCAAAACACTGGAAAACTAAGGCCTTGACAAAAATCTATAGAAATGATAAAAAACATTTATGAAGATGGAACAGCCGCACGAATTACATAAATAAAGACACAAAATACAAATAGGATGAAGAGTCGAGCGAGGAGATGCACTCTCACCAAGCCTTTTCACAGCAACATGAGGGAGGAATTTTCTAAAAATTGGATTGGAGATATCAAAGCAAACAGGACCCTGTGGGGTGGGCTGGTAGGAACGAATAACCAAAGAATATAAACATAATGTATTATTACACTTGTTTAGCCAGGAAAGCCTCACTGAGTCTAAAGGTTTTTGTAGGGTCCTGCCAAGTGTTTGCAGTAGGGGGCGATGTTGCTACACCTAATTGGACATCGGACGGACGGACGGACGATATAATCTATTGTAGGCTGGTTCACTTCGTTCCTACCAGTATAAAGTTGAGCGATAAATGAGAATCCACCTCTGGTTGCTGTTGACGCAAGTCCTCAGGAAATGATTACAGAATTTCACGAATAAAGAAGGCTGCAGAGTAGTGGGTAAAGATAAACATGAGCAAAACATGTGTTTGTGTACATGCAAAATAATTGTTGGAGGGACACAACTGGGAAACACAACAGATTGTACACATATATATATGTCTCTGGGACAATTACAGGAGGACCAGGATCATAATGATGAAATAAAGAGGTGATATAGAGCAGGATTGGCCACTTTTGGAAAATATTTTTTTAATGAAAGTAAGCGTACTAATGTGCCTAAAGAAGGCAATTTAATGCCAGTGCAATATCAAAACTGTTCCCAAGATTAAAAAAATATGTTTAATCTCCTGAATGCAGACACTGAATGTGAACTTCACGACAATTTGCTAAATCCGGGGTAATTCAAGCTTGAATGCATTGAAGTGGCTTTCCCAATGAAAAAATTATGTCAACATTGCTACTTTTTATCTTTTTGCAGAATGTAATTTTAGAAATACGTTGATTTCAATATTTCAACATTTTTGGCGTCTCTCTGACACTTTTGTTCAAATCTATTCTCAGTTATTTTGATCAATGTATCCTTTGTGCTCACACAATTTCCTGAGAGTGCTCTAACTCACATATACACGCCGTCTTTGCTCATCTTTTGTAACTCTCCTAACATTGCCATTGCTGCCACTTGAGGTTTTATCACACAGAAGTGGTTATTGGTCCACCCTTCCAGCACTTTATTGAAAACGAAAAGAGGCTGGCTGGCTGGCTGGCTGGTTCGGGGAGCTTACTCCGTGTCAGGGCTGAGCCAGTGTACAGCTGATATCCATGGTTCGAAACCAGGCAGCCATCCACATTAATTATAGCGAGTTGGTGCTCTCAGCCTAGATGTCAATGGCTGCACAGCAACGTCATTGCATTCGTTTATTTTTTCACTCACTGTTGGTTTGATTGACACGTTTTGGATGCTCGTTGTAAGTTAGAAGTTCTCGGGCGTGGATAGAGAGGCTTATTTCACTAAGTTCAGAAGTAAATATAAAAGTTTTCTCCGCCGGCAGTCGAAGCCCCACCTGTGGTCTACCAGGCCACAAGCCCTCAAAAGCAAAACATTTGTGCATAAGCAAATTTGCGTTCACGGTAAATGTATGTAAAGCTGAAAATACTCACTTTCAGTATGCGTACAATTTCAGTTTTTTTGAAGGGTTTGTCTCTTACTGCACTAGAATCGCTATCCCTTGCATGAGTTTCGATTCCCAGTCAAGGCTAACTTTGGCAAGTGATATCTGCTGAACCGATCGTGTTTCCCTGCCTTCACTCGCCTGCACTGAACAGCAGGGTGAAGAAAAATCAACCCCCGTGACAGAGACTGCACGGGGAAGTCTTCATCCATCCGTGGATTGACAAAGTAATACATCGTTTTAATAATTATTAAAACGATGTATTAAGACGATGTACACATTAACATTTGTTGTAAATATTTCAATGTATTTTTGTGTTGCAGGTCTAATCAGGAAATTCAGATATACACAATCGCTGTCATCAATGCCCTCTTCATGAAGGCGACTGCGGACAAGAAAGTGGTAAGTGAAATAAATATGACTTATCAAAGTGTAATTTGTAGGATTATGTTGTGGCAGTAGCAAATAAACACACGTTTGGATGACAGATTGAGCCCAACCTTTCAGGGACGTTCAAGATTGCACCATGTTGTTCACAATAGTTTGCCATTGTGTGCCAGTGACTTGTGTGAAATTTGACTCCTGCTTTGACAGTCCAGCACCCTGAAGAGTAGATAGCCAGCTGATCTTAAGCTTCTGCCCTCTAGCCTCATTGCCACACAAATGCCCTTTTGTGTCAAAAGCCCAAGCTCTTGCTTGCGAGGTGCACTCGAGTGCATGGCCCTGTGCAGAGATGTGCCCCCACGGCCTCCCAAGCCTCCGCATGTCTCTGATATCTGCCGATGAGTAATGCACCGGGCTGCTTTGAAAGCGCGTGGCACAATGCGAAATGTGTGCTGAGCCTCTGCGCAGAGCACAAGGGGCGGTCGTGTTGAGCTGGGCAGATGTTGCACACTCGCTTCCTTTGTTCGAGCAAGTCTGTGTCGCGGCGGCTGGCTATGGCCAGTGTTGACATCAAGCCGAGCGGGTGGGCGGGCTCTTTTTTACATTTTCCTCCCAAGGTAAACTTTTAAGCGCTTGATTGATGTGCAAGTGGCAAGACAATTTTTTGTCAATATTTTGCAAGCGAGAGAGAAGGCCAAATCACTGCACTTTCCAGAGGAAATTGCCTTCCGCCAGAACACGCATCAGGGACTTGGGTTCGGTAATTTTGTGTTGTGAAATAGGCGTGAATAAGCATGAACCTATTCCGTGACTGGCCTCTATTGCCCTCGCTGGCCCTGCAGATGGGGGTATCGCACAAGGCGATCTCCGCGCGGATCCTCCCAATCACATTTGCAAGTCACTCAAAATAAAGGCTTTCACCATGAAGTTCAGACAACAAGGAATAGGATTGTAAGCCTCGGTTAATTGCATATGCCTTACTTTTTTATACACTAGATCACCGATTATCCGGCAGCTTCAAGTGCCGGATTTTTTTCTATATGCCAGATAATCACGTCATTATTTAAAATAGCTTATTTGTGCACATTCCTGCAAAACATGAAATTGTATCTGTTGCGTGTATAGTTTTTTTAATGTTGTAAATGTATTTACTGTATGAAATTGGCATTAATAAACATACAAAGAGACACACATATATATATTTCCTCGTGTAAGAAGTCACTGTATTTACTGTATCATACTTAGCACGCTAATCTCGAAGACTCATGCGTGGGGTGATGTACGTCGTCCTCCGCTCTTGTTTCAACATGATTGAGTTTGACGATCGCCGGACTGGTTACATCCTTTGGAACGGTTTTAGCGGTTTCGCCGGATTGGCCTGGGACTCCTGGATAATGTTGGAAGCAGCCGGATCACTGCGTGCTGGATAATCTATGATCAACTGTATATTTATGTATATGTAAGTACATTTCAACATTTTCAAGTTTCAACTTCAGTGAACTTATTTTGTTAAATTAGCTTCTTGCTGTCTCTATTGTTTGGTCAATGCACAAATTACCCCCTGATCCAGAGATTAATTACAAACTTCTAAATGAATAAGAGTTATGGTGAGGGTTTAGTTTTTAGTGTTAAAACACGAAACAGCGCTGGGGATCATATATAACAGATAAGAATAGATATTTTACTGCAAATGATGTCATAAAAACGCGTCTTATCAGCAGTTTTTCTCATTTGTAATGTAGTTTCTTGATTTCGGCACGATAAGAATAGCTAGAAATCATGTTGTCTGTGAGATATTTACACATTTCTGCATATTCGATGCGGCCCAAGGGAAAAAAGGCATAAAAGTCATACAGGATTACCACCTACAAAATAGCCCTGCACATTAAGCAAACGTATAATAGACTTAACCAACATTTTCTTAGGTTTTTTCGGTAAAGTCACGTAGGTAAAACATCAAAATTAATAAAAATAAATAAAATAAAACAAAAATCACGACGTTTCGGAGGCAACACAAGTCTCCGTCATCAGGTGGGACCGTCACAGCCGGATTAGCTGCATCAAGTGAGGCAATGATTCAAGATGTATTTATTCCCTTAACCTAAGAATATGAATCCTTGCAGTCACGAAAGCTTCAAATCTAGAATTAACCAACATTAAATGATATTTTTTTCATTTTACCAGTAATCTTGACTTGTGCATAACCAATACATTTGCATTGTCAGTGTTGTAAACTTTAACGCTTTTAATGCCCAATTCCCCATTGGATGTGATCTTTAGTGGTTACGAATGAGGCACGTGAACGGAGAAGTGCACTCATCGCTGCAGTGGGAATTGCTCTGTTGAGCGAACCTAGCGGCACGTAGTAGTCCGTCAGCCTAACCTTGGAGGAACACTTCAGCTGTAATGAGGGGCATGTTGTACCCTTGCCACGTGGTATAACTGCCCCCCCCCCCCCGCACAGAATCTCCAGGAATGCACCGTTGTTTTGAGTGTTCTCCTTGGCTTGCTACACTGAGTGCATTTTGACCAATGGCATCACCATTTGAACCCAGGAGACATGCCGACTGCCTTTTAAAACAAACCACCTCATTGTGCTAGTTTATATTGCTGATGTGTTTGACTTTTTCCCATGCTGGGCATTCCCATGGGAAAAGAAACCTCATCTTCTTTGGCGCAGCTGCGAAACATGACCAGCAGAGTGGGAGTTATGGGAAATGTCCCAGTGAAGAGGCGGTATGAATTTTTTGACCACTGTTATATGTTCCTCTGCTGTCTTTCCTGTAAGTGGCTCAGAGTTACTACTAATACTTAACTTGCCGTGAATACCGAATAAGTAAAGAAAGGTTGACGTTCATATAAATGTGTTGCAACGATGTTTTTATTTCTACGGCAGTAACAATATCTTTTTTGTTACCGCCACACAAACTATTTTTTTGGAGGATTGGAAGTTTTACCGGGACTGAAAATTCCCTTGAGAAATGTCATCGTATTTATGGTATATTCATCGAAAACCTTATTGATTTTGGAAGAGAGTATTTGTTTACTGACCTCATTTTAATAGTTTACCTTGTCTGCCAGCAACACACTCCGGATTTGCTGCAGATGAGTGGAATTGATCAAGAATCGGGCAGCAGCGCATTTGAACTTTTGCGTTTTGTTACGAGTACCAAACCCAAGGAAAATAATTTTAAGATCCAAAGCGAAAATCTATCTTTTTATTTTTTGCTGACAGAAAATATATTGAATAGTGTGTAGGTAAACTTGGGCTGTTAATATACATGGTGTACAACATTTGTGTGTTTATATGTACATTTAGTTACATAAATTATAATCCTGTATTAATTCACTCTTGCAGAGATGCAATTAATATTTGTGATTCAGTCAAGATTTGATTTGAGGATCCATTCATTTTTCATCTCGTTTTTACCATCTCGTTTGTATTGTTCCTGATTTTTTAATCAGTTTCGTTCATGTACATTTGTGTTCTCTTTTATGATAAATGTGAGTTTCACATATGATATGCATAGATGGCAAAAACAATTTCTCTCACGCACACATCCTGCAGTCTGTAATGCAGTACAGCATATAGACTGGAGGTATGCAGTGCGCATACAGGCACTGAAATGTGACCAAGCATGTTCGTGCCAGATTCCTCCAGTTATGAGTAAATATTCTGATTCTGGATCCCATGCACTGCGAGCGCATGTAAAGTCAATGCGATGCGCTGGATAGGTGCGCGCATTGACCCAGGTGGAAACGGCTTTCTCAAGATAGCGGGCCCAGTCCTTGCACTTTGGTTGCACACCGGCAGCTCCCTTCTCTGCTCTGGAATGTTGTTATATGTGAGCTGTCACAGCCCAGGCAACGCCGCTCTTGAATAAACGCGAAGACTAATAGGTATTTGTGTCTACAATAAACTGTGAAGTGAGATGGTTTACTTAAAACAGCTGGTCACTATTTACTGAAAGCCGTTAGTGTTAAATAGCCTGACTAATGCGTCTTGGGTAAATCGGCAACTTTATTGCCATCAGGATTTATGCTTGAATTTGCTGTGCAGAGAAAATGATGTGAACAGAAATATATGAAAATGCTAAATATAAATTGATCTGCACAATAGATGCAAGTGTTTATATCCACCCCTGTTCATTGTAGTGCATGTGAGATAATTGGGCTAATACAAAGCATAGCTGAATATTTTTGCGTCATATAAAAACACGTATTTTAAGTAAAATTTTGCTGTAAAACTACACGGAGCTGTGCATTGGTGTTGGTAAAGCGGAGTGGTAGGTTTCGTAGCGGTTTGTGTAGGATTTTTAGTATATTTCCTGGAAACACGTGAAGTGTCCTTGAATGGACAGATGGTTGGATGCACGGACATATTTCCCAAGGGCCAGTAATTGGTACCTATGGGTTTCTTTAAAAACACGCCAGCCTGAAGTAGGAGCTGCATGAATGCTTGCACCTAGAGTCGCTGTCTGCAGATGGGATGTGAACGATATCCGAGTTAGAGGGGCACTGTGACAGTTTTTAGTTAACAGTGAACATGGATATGTCAGTGTAGTTATAGTTGTGATGTTTAAGGGGCTGAAAGGAAGCTGCCAATGTCTCATCATCAAAATATCATCTTTCATTGACCCGGTAGTTAGAAAAAAAATACTGTAAGGATATTCAAGTGGCAACTTGACTTGGAGACTTGTGTTCAACATGTAACTAGGACATCGTAGAATACTATACCTGGTGAGTTGTGAATTAGGCTATGACACTACCCATGCCTGCGTGTGTGTTATGGGTAGCCTAATGACCACTTGAACTGCCCTGCATGGTCTCGCGAGGATAATTTGTTTAACCAAGGTCTGTAGAGGAAGAGAACACTTGGGGAGATATCCTACAGCGGTTAACCAAATTGGGATTCCCATGAAGTAACAGTGCAATGCAAGCGACCGGTCCTGCTGTTATAATGCAGAAGTTAGCGAAGCTGTACATCCGGCCATATTTATATGGAGCAATGGGCCACCCATGGGGATTCAGCTGTAGTGTTAACTTGGGGTTGGTTAGGGCACAATCCATGACAACACACCATTGCTTGTCTTGCCCGAGAGACCCAGCGTCTACCCCGTGCTAGGAGAGGGGTTATCTGCAGAATTCCCAGCAGAGCTGATAAGCTGCGGGCATGAGCAAAATTAAGATGTAGTCTCTGCCTCGGACTTAACAAATCCGAGGAAGCACTCCAGAGAGGAAATGCGCAGTCCTCATCCTCGGTCAAATTTGTTATCTTTTTGGAACGGGAGATTGCACAGGGCACCGCAGAGGTCATGGGAAGCACCCCGTAAATGCAGGAAGGGTTTCCTCAGTTTGTTGTCAACATTAGGGATGTGTGCAGTGTTTACCAAGAATTGCATCCATCTGCAATGCATGGCAATCACCCATCCGAGCACTATTCAGGCCCAAGCTGCGTTAGCTTCCAGCTCTGGTGAGATCGGGCGCATTGCAAATCCTAAGCAAAATGTAATTCTCACTCGCACGTTTGACCGTCGTCGCCGTTGCTTTAAAATATTGACGCTAAAGTTCCCGTGCGCCCCGGCGTTGTCTCTCTGCTCAAACGTGCGTTGGGTGGTGCTCACTTCCATTGGCAGCTGTGAGCCGGTGGTGAACTTCCACATTCCCTGCACGGGCGCCAGTTTCTCCGAAGAGGCAACCTCTGTTTTGACCTCTCACAGAGCGGTGCTTGTGTTTAGGCCCCGCGGAGGAGAGGATGATGGGCTTTGCCCAGCTTTGTTGGTTGACGTTGGTGCGAACGCCACTTGTCTATGAATCTGACCAGTTTCACTTTAAAACAACGAGTGCTGCAATCCCACAAAATAGTACGCGTGTTACAATTCCGGAGGGAATAAGATTCAACTAAACCCTCGCTACGATTTAAGGTTTCGTCCTTAAAACGGAGCCTACCACCATTTCAGTGAACTGTCGTGGCTTTTAAAGATGCATGCCTTCGTAAAGGTAACCCAACGTTTGTTTATTGAATTGTACATGTCACAAATACAATTGTTTTACATTACGCTAAACCACATTGGGTGGGTGATTATGAAAGTATAGCATTGTCTTGAACAAATTATGTATGAACCACCAATATGCTCTCATCCCATATGAGTTTGTTGCTGGTAACACCGATGTCTTTTTCATTCGCAGCAAATATTTAATTACTTTCAGAAGACTCTGAGACCCACGATTCTCAATGTAAGTAGACATGTTCAACTCCTGTTTTTATATAAAATCCTGGTTTTGTAATCTTCAAGCTTCGTTGTATGTGAATGTGGGCGTTAAGATGCTGAGCGGGGACCGGCATAACAAGTTCGATTTCCACTCACGGCCAACACCAGTGACGATTATCTGAACTGGTCCTGGGCCTCCCATATGTCTACTCAGCTTTAAATGAGTACCTGGTGGAGTGTGTATGTATGTTGAGCTTCTTTCGCACCGTATGTAGCCAACCGTGCTAATTGGAGGGGCGGGAACATTTCTAAGCATCGCCATTGGGGAGATAAAGGCAGCCAGGTGTGATGTTGGCCACCCACCCCCTCCTGTGCCATGCCGGCTTGCATAGGTTCTCGCTAGCTGTGCTTGCCCCAAAAATCTGTTAAGGCTATAAGGGGGATCTTTGTCTTTTTTTGTCTAAGATGCCAAACATCATGTGAGCCGCATCACAACGCTTGTTGACCAATTGTTCTTGGGGAAAAAAAACACACTGCCGCAGCAGTTTAAGAAGATTGTTGCTCTAAGACACAAATGCAGTCACTTGTATTTTTGGCAGGAACCTGCGCTGACCTCCCTTTAAAAGTGCCGAGTGGCTCGCACGTTGAAAGCATTCTTCTTGGCATGTACATTAAACTTTCATGAAACGCCCGGTAAGTGCCGCGTGTTGGCTGCGAGCATCGATCACATCGTGTGTTTATGTGCCGAACGCAGACCGTGATCCGCAGCAACCGGTCCATCGGCGCGGATATGGCGCACCAGCTGTACGTGCTGCAGACCCTCTCGCTAAACCTATTGGAGGATCGCATGATGACCAAGCTGGACCCGCAGGACCAGGTCTCGCCCCGCCAGTCCCCCCCCCCCCCGCTCCAGCCGACCCACGAGCACCCTCTCGCAAACGGCTCCCTGCATCTCCCCCCCCAGTTGGCTGTCTACACACGCACACTCGCCGCGGTGCTGAACAAGCCAGTCGGAGTCGAGGGCACACGTAAAGCTGAGCTCCGTTCTGTGGCTCCATATGCAAATTTTTTATGAATATTTAGTGCAGAGAGCTACTGGTTTTTCGGACCAATGTCCAGCGTCAGTGTTGCCGTCTGGGTCTCATCAGCAAAATCAGGCTTATTAAACAAATGCTGTTGGAATACCAGATATTATTGGCAAGAGCACTCCACTGGGCTTGTAACGCCATCTCGCCCCACATCACCTGATTGGTTGAAGTCACTGGAATTGATTTCTGGTGGATCTGCAGTCTGCTCCAAATCTAGTCGGTGAGAACAGCCTTAGCATAAATCGTCAAATTCATATCGTCTGTGTATTTATTTGCTCGGGATCAACTGAAAGGTATAACTTCATCAAATAGCTTTTGAATCTTGCTTTGCTATCTGCTTTGAAAAATACATTTTCTAAAGTAGCACCGTTGGCTACGTACGTTGTGAAAGAAGTTCAACATACATGCATGGGAACATGCACTCTAATCCTGTGCTTTAAATCAAACTGTGCGATGTACGCAATGAATAACTTAATAGCATTGACAAATAATGCATAATCTTATGACTGATGCATAAAGGTTGAACAGTGAGGTTTAATAGACTCCCTGTCGAGTCTTTGGGTTCAGCCGAAGCGCCCAAAGGCTCAAGCTTGCCAAGCTGACGATGCAACCGGTCACATTCTGAGAGCAGCGAAAGTTCTTGAGTCCCTAATGCACACACGGCGTGTTGATAGCCGCATAGAGCAAAATTGTTCCCCCTTAATTACATGTGGTAATGGTTACCCTTCTTAGGTAATCGCTGAATGTAATACCTCTGTCTATTCAACGTTCCCTTTCCAACAGCAGTTGAAACTCATTAAGTGTTGGCAGGACTGTAGATGGAACTTGCAGCGATGGGGACCCCTAGTGGCCTTCACTGTATCATCGTGATATAAACCACATTAAGCCGGGTACACTGAATATACAGCCAGCACTCTTTTATGAAATGACATTGCTTTTCGGTTAAATTGTAGCATTCTTTCACAAAACAAACAGGAATGTGAATGTCCTATTGTATTGAAATATTTTGCTTGAAATCAACCGAGCTCGGTGAATACACACCCATAACAAGATCTTTACGAGCAGGGCAGTACCAAATTTCACTAAAGGTCTATTTCAGAGAAGATCTGGGTTACGAAAATGAATTGAAAGCAGGTATAACACAACGGTGCAACTGCAAAGCACGAAGATATCAATTGCCATAAATAATTAATGATTTATTTTACTCTTTAAAGTGAAACAATGTTAACACATACTCTTTGGTTCTTTCGGTAAAGTCACGTAGGTATAAAATATATTGTTGTGATTTAATTTATTTTATTTTATACCTACGTGACTTTACCGAAAGAACCAAAGAGTATGGATCCCTGCAGTCACGAAAACTTCAAATGTTAACACAGTTGAACGACGTTACAAACAAGTGAAATTAAAATAATTAGGTAGAAATACATTTTTAACATCATTTTGCATTTAGATTGCCCAAACGATGAATCCCATATGAAGCCTTTGAGAGTTTAGGTTTCTACCAAATACGATCGAAATGTTTGATTGCTCGTGACGCACCACGGGCGAATGTGCATCTCAGAATCTCGTATTAACTCTCGGTACATGACCTAGGAATCTTGTGGAGTGTTGTTAAGTTGTGAGTGTGAATATATATGTGTGTGTGTCTATATATGGTGTAAGTAAACCAGTTTAAGTTGATGGTGATTCCTTAGGAAACACTTTTAAGAATACACCTAGGCCAATGTATGTCTCTCCGTACTGATAGTGGAAGGTAGCCAGTTTTAATAAAACGGTAAAAATGAACAATATATACACATATTTTTACTTGGATCTATCATGTTCAAATTACAAAACTGATTACACTCCAGGAAAGGTAGTTAGTTTTGTCAGTGTCTTGGTTTGCGCAGTGTAAACGGTTACTTGAAAGAAAATGGGCCATTACCTAACTCCATAAGGAGCCAACTCATGTTGCTGTTTTGTTTGTCCAGGTCCAACGGGATCTGCTGATGGAGCTGCGCAAGATCGCCTTCGACGGCGATGTGGATCAGACGAACAACAGTGGCTCCATCGACAAGAGGAAGTCCATGTTCACACACGATTACAAGAAGCTGGGCTTCTTGGTAAGTGCCGCTTATAACCACGAGTCACAAGCCGGCGTTCCTCCGTGCTCGAACGATGTGACTCATGTCTCCCATGATGCGCTGAGCCAGTGGTAGAGATTCTACATGAGCTCGATGACAGCTGTGGGAAAGTAGACATGCTCTCTGTGCAAGCACTTCCTTGTAAACCACCATAATAACTACTCGCACAGTCATTTGCGAACCACCACAATGACTGCTCACAGACCCCTTCATAAAACTTCACAAGTAATCCAGAAAGACTCGGATATTAGCCACCCACAGTTCGTACAGAAACAAGCTACTTTATCAACCTGCGCACTCTACTCCACAAACACACTGCATTTTAAAGGACCACAACATTCGCAGCAGGAATCATTATAAATACAATGGGATGGCTTCAGCCTCCACCGTTTGTCTGATAATTATCATAAGCTGGCATTGTTAGCATATGAGTTATTTGCATTTGGTAATGGGAAATTGATTGCACATGCCAAATAAATCAAATCAATTATTTGGCATGTGCAATGGGAGTGAGTCTTTTGATCAGCTGACTATTGTAGACACTTGTTGTGGTTTATTCAAGTAAAGTAATTTCTTTACCGAAAGAACCAAGAAGATGAATCCCTGCAGTCACGAAAGCTTTAAATCAAAAAAAATTTCCCTTGAAATATTAGGGGTGTCCTTGGACTTCCAGTGACATGGGGGTCTTCCGCAGCATGTTTCCCGGCTCCGCATTGGATAATTAATAACGTCATTAACATCCATAGTCTCTTGCCAACTGTTTAGTTTATTTTTCATTAATGTTATTAATATTTAAAGGCATTGGCTATTAGTTACCTTGAGATACAGTTCATTCTTATTTTGTATTTGTTTTTGCTACTTCCATTTGGACTGTCTCTCTGACCTCGTGCACCATTCGCGACTTCTGAATGTTACATTTTGTCCTTCTGCGATGACGCAAAGCGGTCAGTCTAGTAGACCCGTGCTTCGACGCGGGTGGAGGAGCCGCCGAACGGAGTTGACGGTAGCTGTCACTGTGGTCGTTAGTAGCCGTAGAAGAGTGATAAGGAGGTGACTTCCCGCCGGCGAGCGAGTGACTGGAGGCAGTCGGTGGGTGCTGGATCGTCAGTCGCCCTCTCACTGCTGCCCTACGTTGAATTATATCCAGTGCAAGGAGGCAGGAACTGTGTGCTCTATCTCCCCACACGGGAAAACGATTTTTCCAACCGGGGCGAATGTGTGCGTCGTGTGGAAACGATCACCGGACGCAAATCGTGTTGTTTGCCTCTCTCCTTCCCCTGCAGAACAGTGTGAACCCTGCGCTGGACTTCACAGGCACCCCCCCGGGCATCCTGGCGCTGGACTGCATGCTCTACTTTGCCAAGCAGCACCAGGACTCCTACATCAGAGTGAGTCCAGCTGTGAACACAGCCATTGCTTCGAGGGAGAGGGGGGGGGGTGTACTGTTCGTGAGATTGAGCTGCACAGATTGCGGGTATTCTGCATGTTAACTACGCTTTTGAAAAATGTAAATTTATTTTGCATCTAAGTCATTGGATACGCCATGTCTTCCATCGTTTTTGCTTTGTGAATTTCTGAGTCTTAGAGACATGCACTGCTGTGCTGTTATCATTCTTGTTTTTTTCTTTTCCCCCGTTGTTATGCAAACTGTGTTTGCCATCACATCTGCATCGCATCTGGAGACTTAAGAAACATCCGCTCAGAACTCTCACTATGAGCAGTATAGCTCATTGTGGCAGAGAATGGCCTCAAAAATTACATCACATGACTACTTCCCCTGACCCATACATTGACTTCTTATCCAACAATGGATGTGGCATACCTTTTAAATGTCCTACAAATAGCCTTAGTGTTAGGCACTTGGAAATTTGTTTAATTTTTGTAATCTTAACGATGATATGTGTTTTTTAGAAAGCTTGATGGGTGTCTGACATTCCCTCATTAAATCCCGTAACGTGTTCTACAGCACGCATATAAGAATCCGAGCTTAGTGTGTCTGTGGCGACATCGCTGGATGTCGCTGTGTGTGTGGACAGCCTGGCAAAGGCACGCCACACAATAATGTACCGTCAGCACGGGCTGACAGCAACTAGTGGCACCCTGCGCTGGGCGTAATGCCGGCCCTAGAGGATGGGATGCTGGGGGGGTGCCGGCTACGGGAACGGGTTTCCTAGGGGCCATGGCACTGGTTGACCCCGGAGGACACGTGACCGGGGGAGTCTGCCCGGGGACCCCCAAAAGGGGGGCTGGGGGGACCACGTCTCCAGGAGAGATCCTCCTCGATGGTTCGAGAAGGGGGTCGTGGCTCAGGTCGGAGCGAGCCCCACCACGGGGGATGAAAACCGGTCTCCCAGTGGGACCAGCTGTTGTTGTGATCCTGAAGAATCTACGTGCTATCCTCCGCCTGAAGACAAGAGCAACACGGGACCTGGACCCAGGCTGGGGTCCGTCCATCGTAGCTACTCTCAGTAGAGTTAGCGTAGTTAGCCCGGTGGACCACCACCATAGGTTAATATCTGGTAAAGGGGCAGTTACCCCTTTGTGTTTATCGTGTTGGTTAAAGAAATGTGTTGCCTCTCAACCGTACATCTTAGTGTCCGTTTGAGCCCACTACATATCTATAACAGCCGTGATGAAGTCGGGTGCATCCTAGCTTGTGCGTTGTTCTTTCTGCGCTTGTGAAAGTCCCTCCATGAACAGGCGTTTGTCCTCGAGGTGGCCAGATGGCTCAGAGGTCAGAGTGTCGAGCTGGCATTGCTGAGATCCCTGGTTTGAATTTAGGCTGCCGCCTGTGAATTCGTGATGTTAGCCAGGTCACCGTTGACTGAAAAAAAAAGAATCGAAAAAAATGTTCTGCGTTTAAATTGACAAAATTGCCCCACTAATAATGAAAAAGATTGCTCTGACTGTCATGTGACGGCCATCACTTTAAGGGTTGGTGGGAAAATGCTGACCCTTATTTGTGTGCAACAGAGGCCACTTGAAGGGATCTCAGCAGTCGCATTGTGATATCTGATTCCTTTTTCTGTTCTTTAACATAACGGGTTTCACTGAACCGTCCCATAATATGCCACCGATAGTAAATCATGATAAAGTTGGGGAATAAGATTGAACATCTTCATAGTAGAGAGCATTGGTGTGGTGGCAACGGTGCCTTCGGCAACGTTGAAATCTTGATCTCGAAGATGAAAAGAAAAAGAAAGAAAGAAAAAAGGAAATGTTGCGTTTCTCCCACTGCGAGTGCTCGCGACCTTGGACTCTGTTGAAACCGTCGCCGCGTCTCTGTGCCTTCTGCCCGCGGAGCAGCTGGTGCTGGAAAACAGCTGCCGCGAGGACCGCCACGAGTGCCCGTTTGGCCGCAGCAGCATCGAGCTCACGCGCATCATGTGCGAGATCATGCGCATCCGCGAGCCCCGTGAGTACAGCGCGTCGCACACGGAGGTTCGTGCGTCAGTGTAGGAGCGTGCAGTCCTGTCCATGCGAGAAAGCGAGTGGTAATATAATAACCATGTAGACGCGAGTGTGTTTAACCACCAGACATGGTTAAAACGTTCACATATGCCATCATGACTTTCAGATGTCCCTGTTCCGCACACTAAGTTCCATCGACCAACATTTCACGGCTGGATCATTGAAGTGAAGGGCTGGAAATTACCCTGATGCCAGCCGGCCGACAGTGACCTTGATTGCCAATGAAATATATTACTTAGGAATTGGCCATATGATTCAATTGCAAAACTGACCAATATTCCAGTATTTCTGTGCAGGACACGCCGGGCAGGCTCTGTGTGACCTGGCTTCCACACAGTTCTGCAGTTTTACCACTCCCAAGTTCCCACCAGAAGTTGTTTCGGATTCTAAAAATGGCATTGCGCTTCCACTCCAGAAAATAAAAGCACCTCCCATCTGTCTCTACCTCTCAATGTGTGTTCATGAACACCGACCTTCTGATAGTCACTCCATCGAGTCCTTCATACTTTCCCGTATGTTTTGTTGTCCAAACATATATGTTTAAGGCAACAGACATCCCAAAGCCCATTGCATCTACAGCATTGTAGGATGCTGTTGGCATGAATGATGCTATACAAAATTAAAGTATTATTCTAATCTTGCTGAATGTAATTGGTTTAAAGTGAATTATTTATGTCATAATTTTCATGAATTTAAACTAGGCAAACTTCACGATAACCAGTCGTGGCAGAAATAATTCGTTTTTGTGAGGTCTGGGGCTGTGGTTGTCGCGGTCACAGTTTTGCCCTGCCGTATATCAAATATTCATGATTATTTACTCCTATTTGAGGCAGAGCATTACAACATTTTTGTGTGGCATCTCCCCGGGTGAATGTAAAGTCTCTGTGGGCTATGGCTATTATTGGTCTATAATTTACCACAACTGCATGAAATATTAAGCTGGCGCTCTGTACAGCTTCCTAGGGCACTTTATACGTTTAACTAAATTTACAGCCAGAAAATCGAGCACCTCCTCAAATCGCCGTCACTTTTCTGTCACTTGGCACTGACATTTAGATGACTGTGCCTGGAAAGAGCGACTCATGCACATCCCATATAAAATACTTAACAGAATGTGTCCGCGGTGATTCCTTCTTTCCATAATTACCGCTTGTGCATTATTTAACAGCAATTCGGTAGCCACAGCCTAAATTAACGTGTCACCCCAGTAGTTGGTTTACTGCAAATGCATTTTAAGCTATCTGGAGCCGTTATACTTTAGGCAGCAGCGTTGCTTTGAGCATTCCTCAGGCTTGGCATGCTTAAAGTGGGCTTTCCTATTTAGGATGTGAATTTTGGAGCCTTCACTGCTATCGCTATATAAATCATATAATTATAAGCAGAACATAAATTTGGCCCAGAAGAGCATTTGAACGTGATAAATGTGCATTGCCTGATTGATGGAGAGTGTGTTCGTGCATTAATCGTGTTCTCGTGGGAGCTGGGTGCACAGTGTCTCGGTTCAGAGCGTTGAGCTGGCACCACTGAAAACCTGGGTTCGAATCCAGGCACATACCCCGAAATACACTGGGTTCTCAAGTTTAAAAGTTTGTTCTCTCATCTCTTATTCATTGCCACCTCCTTTCCATTAGAGCTGCCCCAACATTCATCTTAATAATGACTGTTTTTGACAACCCCTTTTTTGCTTTATTTTTGGAAGAAACAATAATAGTGCTTTATCAACAAACCTGCATTTATGTTACACAGGTCTCGGCTGAATACAAGACGTGGAGTCTCAATTGGCTCTCATCATGCCACGCTTAAATCGAATTACACACAAAAACCAGCATGCCAATTTTGTCCAATATTCATCCCTTGAACACCACCGTGAAGTCCTAGCATTATGAACACCTTCACAGGACTTACAGGCCTAAGTCTGCACACATGCTGGCGTATGTCCATTCAAGTCTACGCTCGATGCAGCTAAGAGATACTTGCCTAACTGTCTACATGTGCAGCCCTTTTGTCAATCCACTGCTGGCTGAGGACCTCCCCATGCCGTGCGAGTCGTGGGGGTATTTGACCATACATCACCACGCTGATCAGTGGCAGTTGGTGATGGCAGGACCATAGAAGTACGGTACAACGATACGTTTTGCTGCACTACTCTGTTGCCCACAACATAGCCACCACAGCACCCTATAACACCTTTTTATGACTGTTAGTTGCTCCACCAAGCGTCATCCAGGCTGAACCATGTCTTAGCTTCTGAGATGTTATAATGATCTAATGCATTCCAGGTAATTTGGTCAAAGACTAGCCCTTGTCTAAATCTACATATGCATCTTGGGATTGACTCGGCAATTCTTCTGGGGTAGATGAAACAACTTCCTTCTTGTTGGAAGCCAGCAGCGATGACCCCAACGAATAGTCTCGCTCCCAACACAGCGATCTGGAATGTCCATCACTGGCTCCAGGGGTGCTCGTTTAAGTGGGAAGTGAATTTTATCGACTCTTAGCTGGCTTTATCACGTCGGGATGTTTTGTGATTTTTGTACACGTGGTTGATTTATTGGGCAACAAACTCGGCATAAAAAGAATGGCGATGTGCACTGACTTTACGAGCCTGGTTTCCAAGGTGTTCTTATTTGTCCTGGGGGCCCGACATCAAACCAACGACCTGGAGCTACTCAAGGAGCCGTTACCATGGACGCTCGAAGGGCACATTTAGCGCCGCGCGGTATCATAGATGTGGGAGGAACCAGAGTAGCCAGCGAACGCCCACGCGTGCGAGAGAGTGAGCGAGCGAGGGGTGAGCACTCACTCTCTGTGCAGATGTAAATTAATCCGCTTGCTGTACTGCCATATCCTGGCCTCCATAGTGCTGATTACAGGTGCATGTGCCACCTTGCCCAACTCTCGTGACCTCTACTTCACCTGGTGGGTTATGTGCTCCCCGGACGTTCTTCTGATGGGGTTGTTATGGGGTTATGATGTTGTTGTGATAAAGAGTGGTTGTTTTTTCCATAGCAGTGTGTGTCTGCCATTGCAGCATCGGAAACGGGCCAGGATTACTACCCCATGTACTTCACACACGACAACGCCTTCCAGGAGCTGTTCTGCGTGTGCGTGCAACTGCTCAACAAGACGTGGAAGGAGATGCGCGCCACCTTCGAAGATTTCGACAAGGTCAGACCACCGTGCCGACTGCATTCATGCTTTAGTCTCAACTACATGGCCGCTTATAAAAGTAGCAAAGCTTACAACACACCACATATGTTTGCAGTATCTGCTTCTTTGGTCCACCCTCAAACGCAAAGGGCAGCGCTGTTCGGCGAGAAATCCAAACGCTTTGTTTCTTGACGTGTCGTAAAATTAAAAACAGCAGCCACTCCATCACAGTGGTCTCTTGCATTGGCCGTCGAACCTTCCCGCGATCTCCTGCCTCAGCCCACGTGCACATCTTGAGTCACTGTGATTTCTCTAAGTAGCGATTTTTCGGTATGTGTGTGTGTAGTAACACCTGACACGGTAGTGTTCAGTAACAGGAGTATGTATTTCTTCCAGCACGAGACACGGTCTTAAAAGATTCCCTTTATTCCAAGCATCCCGAACTCCCTCGCTTCCCCTTTTTACATCCCTCAAGCCCCTTTCCCGAAGGTTCCTTGACCTGCTTTCGCTCAAGCCAATCACCTTCCACTTTTCCCAACGGATTCCACCTGTCCACCCTGTCAATCATCCTCCGTTTCCCGCTCTTCCATTTGCATGTCTCTTCCAATCTCTTCAATTCCCTGCCTATAACCAATCCCCTTTCAGTCCGGTTAAGTACCAATCAGAAGGCTTGTTTTACTTCCCGACTCTCCGTGGCGCGTACATAACGTCGGGTGATTGAATCACTACATATGTGTGCTGAATTTCTTTCACACCGTGCGTAGCCGACCTTGCTAATCGGAGCTGCGGGCAAAGGACAACAAGTTATCTGATGCACGTGTTCCCACCTTCTGTCGAGTACTGCAATTCGGTGCATGCGTCCCCGTACGTTTCGTTTTTGCGCAAATTTTCACCTTTTGTTCCATTTTATTGTCAATATTCATATTCTTGGTTCTTTCGGTAAAGTCACGTAGAATGGAAATAATAAAATAATAAAAATAAAACATAATAAAATAATTCTCACGACGTTTCGACCACAATGCAAGTACCCGTCCTCAAGTCTGTCGAGGAGACAGAGTCAGACTGACTCTGTCTCCTCGTCCTCCACCTGAGGACGGCTACTTGCGTTGTGGCCGAAACGTCGTGAGAATTATTTTATTATGTTTTATTTTTATTATTTTATTATTTCCATTCTACGTGACTTTACCGAAAGAACCAAGAAGATGAATCCCTGCAGTCACGAAAGCTTTAAATCGAAATTTAATATTCATATTTCCAATCCTTGTGTCCTACTCTTCCAGGCACAACGGTTTGTTGGCTTTTCGTTATAAAATGTAATTTTCCAAAAGCACTACAACCTGCTCTCGCTCACACCCACTGGGAATCGTCAATCACGACAACACACCTTATTGATGAAGTGTTGACCTTTGCAATATTGACATCAATTCAATCAGTAAATGGTGCTAATGTGATTGCTTACCAGGGCCTTTCGGTGACAGAAGGGGATTTCCAGGATTTGCAAAAAGCACGCGACTCTCGACAAGCTGTCCGCACATGTCTGTAACAATGCAGGGGTTAACATGGATTGATTGCTAATATTCTTAACCAGAAAGAATCATCCACCCATCCTTGTGAAGAAGAAACTTATTAATGAGTATATACACACGTATCTTTTATTTGTAACCGGAATCATTAACACTTTTAATACTTTGAGGACAAAAAACTCAAACATTTATGGAAATTTTTTAAGGCAGTTTGGACGAGTAGGCCAATATAGCCTGAATTGCGATGCTTCTCAACCGATGTGCCGCGCCACGGTCACAAGTGCGCCGTGGTATTTTCGGAATTCAAGGAAAGGAAAGAAGCTTGCTGTTTGCGAGCCGGGACAGACGGACTCCACTCCAGTGAGTTTAACACGGTCCGGCCCCCACCCCGACCCTCTCATCCTCCTTTCTCCATTGGTCGCTCATGCACAGTGCAGCGCAGCAGCGTCAGACAGCCGTCAGCCCTCACCCTCAGCCCTCTCAACTTCCTTGGTTGCACGTGTGCCACTTGGGCAAAAAAAGTTGCACCCTGCAAGTTCTTGCACGTGCCACTGCTGGCAGAAGGGCCCTCAGCTCTAGAGGGCACTACGAGTTGAGGGTATTTGGCCTACTCTTCCATATGTTTGAAGAGGCGGGAGTACCCACACCTTACCCCGCCACACGTCACCTGCCGATTCTCGAACTGTGAATGTACCCATGTAATACTGCCCGGTGGAATCAAACCAGTCCGGCATGCAAAAGGATTAAAACGCGGCAGCATTCCGAATACAAATAAATTACCAAACAGACAAATGGACAAATAATCCAGAAACGGAGATTTACATTATTTGTTACACGTGTCGCGAATATCAGGCAAGCTCAAGAGTGTGCCGTGGAATTAAAAAGGTTGAGTGAGCGGCCCTCACTGAAGTTTGTTTTTATAGTGGGGGAGGCCGTTCTGTTAGCAGTGGCGTCACTAAACCATCGCAGGGTTGCACCTTTGACTCGGCATCGGTAAAATTAATGGGATAAACCCTTTTGAAAAAAAGCACTCTGAGTTTGATTAGAGATGGAATATAATCTCCATGATTAAATAAAATAGCAATTTAGGATCACGATTTCATTTACAAAGCAATGTTATTTTACAAATTTACCAACCAAAACAGTGCATATCCATCATATATATGAACACCAATAATGATAAAAAAAACACATTTGTGTGCAGTCTATGACTAAGCCAACGTTTAAAAAACACCAAACTTTGGTAAAACTCCAGATAATTGTTTTAAATTCCAGAAGAAAGTTGTCTGCAAATAGCTTTACGAATTACATGCCGGCTCTCTAAGCGTGCACAGCCAATGGGGTATTTCCATTAGCAGTAGAATTCATTTCAATCTTCCCCACAGATTTAAATCCACTGAGAGTTCTTAAAACAATTGCAGGTTATTTTGGGTGGAAGAGTGGCGTTATCGATGCTATTATGCTAGAAAATGGAATTACTGCAAAGCAAGGTTAGTCTTCACGGACGGGTGCTTGAGATTATTGTGTGTGCAGGCTGCCTGATAAGCTCAATAAAGCAGCTCAGTCATGTACAAAATATTCAAAGCAACCTTGACATGACCACCAGACTCCCATCCGTCTATAAATCTCACTTCAGACAGGTCCTGGTTATTAGTGCCTTGGCAGCAGTGTGTGTGTGCACACACACACGATCCTTCAGTACTGATAGATAGTTGTGACCTCTAGTGTTCAAAATTGGTTGGCATTTTGAAAGAAAAAAAATGATATTGAAGTCAATTTATGTCGGCCAATAAATTCAGCACATGAGCAGTAAATGCAGTGTCAATGTCATAAAATATTTCCTCGATTGTGCCCGTGCAGTGAGCAGGCTGCAGAGTTGTGTGTTTCTCCGCACTTAATTCAAGCCAGCGAACCTAGCTCCACGCAGTTTAATTAAAAAGTTTACAAAGTTTTCTTTGTCGTTTCCTCTATAACATTTAATCTCGTTTCACGCCTGGATGTTTGGCCATTGATTTAATAGCTGTGATAGTCAGCATATTAATATGGTAATTGCCAGTGTAAAGTCAAAAGTGTCCTCTGGGATCAGTGCCTCCTTAGATGTAGAGGCAAAAGGGCAGACTGGGTACATACATCTGGGAATACATGTTTAGAATGTCGCCTTTTATTCCAACATCTGTGGAGCGTTTACATGTTCGTTAGCATTAAGGTCAATTGTCTTCTCGCTCAAATGAGAATTGCGATGATGCTCACCTCTCTTGGTGGCCCCGGTGCGAGTGGTCAAATCCCAGCATTCCCATGGGGAGCTCCAGTCTCTCTCCACGTGTCGACCGCTGTTGACTTTCCACAGTGGGGGTACGTGTTTGGTTAACCCTTAAAGGTTGATGTTGAGCTGGGTTAATCCCCCAGCCAACCTACTTTTTACCCCCCATCCCCTTAACCTCTTCATTCCCACACATTTCCAGTCCTGCAGTTGTGAAAAGCACATTGGCAGGCCAGAGGGAAAACGCTAGGCTCTTATGAGTTGCATAGCGTAAAAAGGAAGTATTTAACTTGTATGCCCGTTGTGTTGCTTGGTTTGTACCGCATTAAAACTGCCACCACTTGTGTGTTGCATTCCTAAGAGCGATTCGTGGCCCACTTGGGCCAATTCACGAACCGAGCAGGTGGCCTGACCTCAGATTCTCGGGGGGTAGCCTGCGAGCTGTACGTATGTACGTTCAACTTCCTTCGCACCGAACATGGCCAACCGCGCCAATCGGACGAGAGCTGTACCTGTTCTGGCTACCCCCCGTTAACCTTAGCTCCCTGCTCGGGGCCCTACCCCACCTTCAGCCGGGCTGCCATCGGAAACGGTCTTGATGCCACGGGGTCAAACGTGGAATAAATGCGTAGTTTGTTTGAAATCAAAACAAGATAGACGGGGTCCTTCTGTGGGAATGTAGAATTGTTAACTGACCAGTGGCACAGGGTTGCCAATGGTGATGAATCCTGCCCAATTGCTCAAATGACCATGGAGACACTGGCCTTTAAATTTCGATTTAAAGCTTTCGTGACTGCAGGGATTCATCTTCTTGTTTCTTTCGGTAAAGTCACGTAGAAGGGAAGTAATAAAATAATAAAAATAAAACATAATAAAACAATTCTCACGACGTTTCGGCTACAACGCAAGCAGCCGTCTTCAGGCGAAGAATGAGACACTACCAAACTAGGAGCTTATATATAAGCTGCATTGGGGGTTGAAGAGCGCCTTAACCAAAAGAATGTGCATGTGAAGAGGGATTTAGCATATTCATGGAAATGCGTAGGCGTTGGGCGGGGGGGTGTCAAAGTCATATTATGCCCATGCATTATGCAGGATCAGCAGCAACCAAGGGGGGTGCAGGGATTAGCAGTAACAAAGGAAAGGAATGTTAATGATATGTAGCTGCAGTTACTCAACAACCACGTAGAAAACTAAAGTATAAACTACATAAAAAACTAAAGTATAAACTGCAT